AATATGAATAGTAAATATGGGTGAGATGAGGAGGTGATACCCTTGAACTATTAACTGCATTGCCTTAACCCAATTTTTATAATTATTCCTCCTCATCTTAGATAATGTAGGATGTCACAGATCAATTATAACACACACATTTATGGAAATCAATGTTTATATAAATATAAGAATATCTCAAGGTGTTAACAGATACCTGTATCTACTTCACCTTCCCTTAGTAAGAGGGAAGAAAAAGGTTCAGGTTTTTCCTTTTTTTTCTATTAATTTAATAAGCGGAGATATTATTAACTTCATTTACTACATCTGCTCTGACATCATAATGCTATGATTACTTGAGTGATTTGTTATTTGATCCAAGACATGTGTGTCTAGGAAGGGTATTGTTTTTCTTTTTTTTGTTTATTTATTATACTGTATTCTGTGAAAAAGAAATTCAAAAAACAAAAAATCTTTTGTGTAAATTTACATAATTATCTGTAAATCAATATTTACACAAAATTGCTGCATTATATGCAGGGCCGGACTGGGGATACAAAGCAGCCCTGGAAAAAAAATCTATGCCAGCCCCATAAGTCATTGCTCCATATATTGTTGCATGTAATATGTAAGGCTATGTCTTGCCACCCCAGATGATTGAGTAATATATATATATATATATATATATATATATCAAATATATATTGCTTTTTCTAATATAAAATATTGGTCCTTTCAGAGTAAAACTTTTAATTATACACTAAGCATACTCACATGCAGACACAGACAATCTCACTGACACACAAAAGCTCATTGATACACAGCCTCATAGATAAACAATCTCACTGATATACATAAGCTCATTGACATAAAAACACAAGCTCAGTCACTAGCAGGCACACATACACATGCAAGCAAGCTCACTCACTAGCAGGCGCATACACACACACAGCTTAATATGGTGGTTCTGGTGTCTATAGCCTGTCCCTGCAGACACACAGACAGACACACACACACCATGACAGACACAGACACACACACCGTGACACAGACAGACACACATTACATGACACAGACAGACACACACACACCATGAGACAGACACACACACCGTGACAGACAGACACACACACACCATGACACAGACAGACACACACCATGACAGACACAGACACACACACCGTGACACAGACAGACACACATTACATGACACAGACAGACACAAGCACACCATGAGACAGACACACACACCATGACAGACAGACACACACACACCATGACACAAACAGACACACACCATGACAGACAGACACACACCATGACACAGACAGACACACACACAGCATGACACAGACACACACACACACACACACCATGACAAACAGAAACACACCATGACACAGACAGACAGACACACACCATGACAGACAGACACTGACAGACTGGCATACATAATTGTTGCTACCTGTGGGCAGACAGGTGGGTCTGCTGGCGGCCACAGTGGCAGCTGACTCTTCTGGCGGACGCAGGGGAAGCTGTGTGTTCTGTCGTGCAGCTTAATGAGACCGGGGCTGTAATATGATGTCATCTTCCAGCCCCGGTCTTATTAAGTAGTGCACAAGGGCGGGGGAGCAGAGACAGAACACACAGCTTCCCCTGCGGCCGCCATCAGAGCTCCCTCTGCGGCTGCAGGTCACCCAAATGTCTCCCCGGCCCCAGGTGCTGACGGCCCACCAGGAAATTTCCCGGTATCCCGGTGGCTGTGGATCCTTTGCTTCAAATACATATGTTAATATATGTTAATATTTTTTTCAATAAAAAAATGCTTAGTTTTGAAGGGGTTGAAGATGTATACCTTAATTGTGTGTAACAATACTTTTTGTGGTATATAATTTGTTGCCTTTTTACTTATTTGGTAAGATGATTGTTTCATGTAGCACCCAAACAGTGACTAAGCATTGGACCTTTACTTTGGTGCACTGCTATATATATGGTTTAACGTATATTCTAAAGGTAGGGATGAGTTTTTCTCATTTGTACATATACCTCATTTTAAAAAATATATTTCTTTCAAAGTTTGATGAATGGTTTATTATAATAAAACTTGCTTTAAGATGACAGTTGTCCATTAATAAAGTTTCTTTTGGAATCTTCAGTTGCATTGAGCATATAAGCAGAAATATTGGTCAAAATGGATAAATATATGTTCTGTACAAGTAGTTACATATATAATGTTTCATCAAAATGGTATTTTCTCTTTTAAACCACTTCTAAATGTGTGCAGCAGTCCTATCTAATGAAGCCTTCAAGGTCAGGTCAGTAAATTTCTGCCATTCTTGTGCATTTAACCTTTAGCACTATTTTATGGCTATTTTTATGTGATGGTTTTTAGCTTTCTGTTCATTTGCTCAGAAGAACCTTTTTGTGCTTTCATTTAGAAAAATACACACATAGAAGTAATCTGTGTCTTCGTATTAACTATATTTTCCAACAGCAAATTAAATCCAAAACACTCTCTAATTCTTCACCCTTTTAAATGAGTCAAAAACCCTGTTAAAAATAATCACAATTAATCACTCTTGAGTGCACTATATATTGCCTGATACATTAAAACTCTATCCTCAAATGAACTTCTATTTTACAAGAGTTTCTCTATAGTTTGGCTGTATTCCATCATTATATTAAACATTTGCACTTGTACTAAAGACAATCTTGGCACTATATTCACTTTTTAATCATGTTGATATTTTCCATTCTATTTTATAGAACGTAATGCAAGCAATATTGAGCTGAGTGTGATAAATAATTGTAGTACAAATCATAAGACACAATAAATTTAGAATTCACACAGTCACACCTATCATAACTTTATCGGGTTACTCTTGTTATATACTATTTTAAGTCTCTTATGTAGACTAAAACATTAACATGTTATTAACATAAGATAGCTTATAAAACTATATGCATATGCCCATCCAGAATCCTTTGTGGTAGTAACATTACTGCAAATTTGTGATTTCTGTGGAAAAAGCAAGTCTTATGGCTTGACTGCTGTGCAGATTTTTGTTTAACGTTGTATTAAAGGACCACTATAGTCACCCAGACCATTTCAACTCAATTAAGTGGTCTGTGTGCCAAGGTCCCCCAGGTTTTAACCCTTCAGATATAAACATGGCAGTTTCCTATAGGCATTTTTAATGCACGCGTTGCTCATGCCGCACATGCCCACTCGGCTCTACTCGGGAGCTGACACCAGAGGGGGAGGAGGGGTCATCAGCACCGAGGGAGCCCGGCGCTGGATAAAGATAAGTGGCTGAAGGGGTTTTAACCCCTTCAGCCCAGCGGGACCCTGAGGGAGGGGGGGGGAACCTAAGGATTATATAGTGTCTGAAAACAAGTTTGTTTTCCTGACACTCTAGTGATCCTTTAACTATCCACAGACGTCAGGTGGAAAAACCTTTTTTGATTTTTGCTTCCCAAGCACTACCAAGCCTCAATAGCAAACCAGTAACCAACATCATGCTGATGATGTGCATTAACAATGAAACAGCTGTCTATGAGTGGTTCACTGGCTTTGCATCTTTCCTAGATTGTGTTTCAAAGCTGTTGTATACAGCAAACACAGACCCAAAGAAATCACAATTTTTTCTCCACCATAACCTTTTTGGTTTTTGATATGTATATATATATATATATATATATATATATATGCAAAAATACCCTGCACTCACGCTTTAACCTCTTCACTGCCGGGCACATGAACCAAAGCTCCAAATGACACAATATCCAGAAATGAATGGCTGCTCACCGGTCTTAAAATGAAAATGTATTTAATCAAGTTAAAAAATAGTGACCAACATTTCAGTCCCTGTTAGGGACAACAGCATATATAAAATCCAAAAGTAGCTTGACACTCACCCCTTCACCACCTTGGTTTCCGAAAAATGCTTTGGTGCAATCCTATGTTGAAATATATATATGTATGTATATATCCTATATACAGGTTTCCCCAGGAGGATGGATTTCCAAAGTAAGTGGGTTACATAGTTACATAGCTGAAAATAGACTTGCGTCCATCAAGTTCAGCCGTCCTCACATTTGTTTTTTGCTGTTGATCCAAAAGAAGGCAAAAAACCCAGTTTGAAGCACAATTTTGCAACAAGCTAGGAAAAAAATTCCTTCTTGACCCCAGAATGGCAGTCAGATTTATCCTTGGATCAAGCAGTTATTACCCTACATTGAAAGATTATATCCTTGAATATTCTGTTTTTGCAAGTATGCATCTAGTAGCTGTTTGAACATCTGTATGGACTCTGATAAAACCACTTCTTCAGGCAGAGAATTTCACATCCTTATTGTTCTTACAGTAAAAAAACTTTTCCTTTGCCTTAGACGAAATCTTCTTTCTTCCAGTCTAAACGCATGACCTTGTGTCCTATGAAAAGTCCGGTTTGTGAATAGATTTCCACACAATGATTTGTATTGGCCCCGAATATATTTGTATAATGATATCATATCCCCTCTCATACAACGTTTTTCTAAACTAAATAGGTTTAAATTCGTTAACCTTTCTTTATAGCTGATATGTTCCATTCCTTTTATTAATTTTGTAGCCCACCTCTGCACTTTTTCTAGTGCCATAATATCCTTCTTTAGAACGGTTGCCCAAAATTGCACAGCATATTCAATATGTGGTCTTACCAGTGATTTATAAAGAGGCAAAATGATATTCTCATCCCGAGAATGAATACCCTTTTTCATGCATGACAATACCTTACTGGCCTTGGCCACTGCTGATTGACATTGCACATTGTTGCATAGTTTGGTGTCTATAACAATACCCAAGTCCTTTTTGTGTGTTGTTATCCCTAATTCGCTTCCATTAAGGGTATACGTTGCTTGTGTATAGTGATGTCACGAACATAAAATTTTCGGTTCGCGAATGGCGAACGCGAACTTACGCAAATGTTCGCGAACAAGCGAACCGGGCGAACCGCCATAGACTTCAATAGGCAGGCGGATTTTTTTTTTTCAGATTGTCTTTTAATAAGCTCCGTGAAGCCAAATGAAATTTCGAACACAAGAATTCTGTAACCATTTTAATACAGGATTTGCATTTCTTCCAGTAAAAAAAAGGGCAATATAAACAAACATTTTCCAAGAACTTCTTGAAGCATTATTACTGGAGGATACAAAGGTTCACTTTAGGTATACCAAGGAAGTTTGGCCACTATTTACACAGCACGCACACAGGCAGGTGGATTTTAAAACCCACAGGGACTCTTTCTAGCCACAATAGTGATGGAAAAGTTGTTTCAAGGGGACTAACACCTGGACTGTGGCATGCCGGAGGGGGATCCATGGCAAAACTCCAACGGAAAATTACATAGTTGGTGCAGAGTCTGGTTTTATTCCATAAAGGGCATAAATCACCTAACATTCCTAAATTGTTTGGAATAATGTGCTTTAAAACATCAGGTATGATGTTGTATCGATCAGGTAGTGTAAGGGTTACGCACGCTTCACAGTGACAGACCAAACTCCCTGTTTAACGCACCGCAAACAACCGCTAAAAGAGGCGGCTCTCTAATTAGGCGGTTTAGGCGGCCGCCTAAGACCTCACGCTGGCTAGGGCCTTGCGGGCGCCTAAACCGCCTTATGGAAGACTGTGTCAGGTCCTCGGTCAGTGACCGAGGACCTGACACCAGAAGGGGGCCCGGGGGCTTGCCCGGTATGCCGCCGGGTGCGAGGCCCCTCCTGGCTGCCCGGCCACCATCGCAGACACAGGTCTGCAGCTCCGCAGTGAGCAGAGCTGCAGACCATGTGTCTCGCGAGAATTGGCCAATCAGAGCGTTGCCGCGGGTTACCACGGCAACCCTCTGATGGTCTCGCGATATTACACAGTCTGCAGCTCTGCAGAGCTGCAGACCGGAAGAAGTGGCCACTGCACCACCAGGGAAGAGAAGGTAGGCTCCCTCACCACCCTCAGCCTCTCCCCACCAGCCTCTCCACCACCCCACCAGCCTCACCACCCTCAGCCTCCCCCCCCCCCCCCCCCCCCCCCCCCCCCCCCCCCCCCCCCCCCCCCCCCCCCCCCCAGCCTCCCCCCCCCCCCCCCCCCCCCCCCCCCCCCCCCCTCACCACCCCCCCCCCCCCCACCCCCCCCCACCAGCCTCCCCACCACCCTCAGCCTCCCCACCCGAAGCTAAGCTGGAGGAGGATGGTGCGTCAAGGTTCCGAGCGGAAGCTGTAGAAGATTGGGTGTCCTGTGTTAGCCAGTCAACTATGTCCTCAGAACTTTTCGAGTTCAGGGTACATGGCCTCTGAACACTGGGCATTATTCTAGGGCCAAAGGGAATCACAGCACCACGACCACGATGGCCCCTGTGGGGTGGCCTGCCTCTGCCTGTCATTTTTTTTTTGATTAGTGGTACTATGCGTGCAAGCTACTGTGACAACAGATATGAGTGGCACTGTGCAGTGGCAGAAGTTGGCAGAGTAGACGCTGTAGGCCTGACTCACACACGCTTTGCAGACAACTAACTGCTATTCAATCTATTACAGTCAAAATTTTATTTTTATTTTTTTAAATGTACACTAATGTTACACCAAATATGAGTTGCACTGGTGTGACACTGTGCCCTGGCAGGCCCTGAAACGCACACGCGTGAAGGAAACTGACTGCTATTATATTACAGTCCAAAAAGTTTTGTTTTTTTTAAATGCAAGCTATTGGGACACCAGTGAGTGAGTGGTGGCACTGGGCAGGCCCTGAAACGCACACTCGTGAAGGAAACTGACTGCTATTATATTACAGTCCAAAAAGTTTTGTTTTTTTAAATGCAAGCTATTTAATGCTGAGGGTGGTGGGGATGGTGAGGCTGAGGGTGGTGGTGGGATGAGGCTGAGGGTGGTGGGGGGGAGGCTGAGGGGTGGGGCGGGTGATGCTGAGGGGTGGGGGGGTGATGCTGAGGGTGGTGATGCTGAGATGCTGAGGGTGGTGATGCTGAGGGTGGGGAGTGAGGCTGGGGGTAGTGAGGCTGTGGGGGTGGCTAAGGCGTGGGGGCTGCGATGCTGAGGGTGGTGGGGGGTAGTGAGGCTGAGGGTGTGGGGGCTAGTGAGGCTGAGGGTGTGGGGGGTAGTGAGGCTGAGGGTGGTGTGGGGGGTAGTGAGGCTGGGGGTGGGGTGGGGGGTAGTGAGGCTGAGGGTGTGGGGGTAGTGAGGTCAGAGAGGTCAGATGAGTCCTTCAGGACTGTAGTGGACACTGGATACACTAGCCTAGCTATCAATTTCCCTATCAAATCAGCAGCAGCTACACTGTCCCTCCTCTCACTAAGAATGCAGCTTCACAATGAATGTAAAATGGATGCTGTCCAGGAGGTGGGAGGGTCTGGGGGGGAGGGTCTGCTGACTGTGAGGAACAGGGTCAAAGTTTACTCAATGATGATGAATAGGGGGCGGACCGAACAGCACATATGTTCACCATCCGTGGCGAACGCAAACAAGCGATGTTCGCCAGGAACTATTCGCAAGCGAACCGTTCGGGACATCACTACTTGTGTATTCTTTACGCCGAAGTGCATAACTTTGCCTTTTTCAACATTAAATTTCATCTGCCATTTGAGTGCCCAGTCCCCCAGTCTATCTAAATCCCTCTGCAGCAAAGTAATATCTTGCTCACATCGTATTATTTTACAGAGTTTTGTGTCATCTGCAAACACTGAAACATAACTTTCAATGCTGTCTTCAAGATCATTTCTAAACATATTAAATAGAAGGGATCCCAGAACAGACCCCTGAGGGACACCACTTGCCACCTCTGTCCAGCTTGAAAATTTACCATTAATGACAACTCTTTGTACTCTGTTTTTAAGCCAATGTTCTACTCAAGAACAAGTGTTTTCATCTAGACCGATTTCCTTGAGTTTGAACACTTATCTATTGTGTGGAACTGTATCAAATGCCTTGGCAAAATCCAAATAGATCACATCCACTGCAACACCCTGATCTATACTTCTGCTTACTTCTTCGTAGAACTCCATCAAGTTAGTTTGATATGACCTGTGCTTCATAAAACCATGCTGATTTTTGCTGAAAACCATGTTCTTCTGAAGGAATTCTTGAATATTATCCCTTAATAACCTTTCAAATATTTTTCCAGCCACAGAAGTTAAGTTCACAGGTCTATAATTTTCAGGCAAGGATTTTGTGCCCTTTTTGAATATAGGAACCCCATCTGCTTTCCTCCAATCCTCCAGAACACTTCCTGAAAGAAAAGAATATTGAAAGATTAAAAACAGAGGTTCACTTATTTCTACACTTAGTTCCTTAAGTACTCGTGGATGGATACCGTCAGGTCCTGGAGCTTTGTTTATATTAACTTTCTTTAGTTGCTGCAGCACCTTGTCTTGAGTTAACCAATTAGAATTATTCTGCAAGTTTTTAGTAGCAATCATTTGCACATCTATTGCCATGGGTTCTTCCTTAATATATCCGGAGGAGAAATAGTTATTTAAAATTCCTTCATTAACTAACACTCCTGTTTCAGTTTTTAGTGTACCTACACTTTAATTTTTGGGGTTTTTAGAATTTATGTATATTTGGGGTTGGTTTTGCTCTCTTTAGCTATCATTTTTTAATTTTGAAGTTTAGCAAATCTAATTGCCTTTTTGCATGCATTATTTGCTCCTTATATCTTTTATAAGACGCATCTGATTTGTCCGATTTAAATGCTTTAAATGCCCTTTTCTTATTTTTAATCTCTTGTTTTACTTCTCTACTAAGCCACATTGGTTTAATTTGTTTCTTTTATATTTATTTCCCAATGGAACATACTGAGAAATGTACCTTTCTAATATTTGTTGGAAGATGATCCATTTATCCTCAGTGTTCTTTTCACTAAAGAGTTTATGCCAGTCAATATATTGTAAAGCTGTCCTTAATTTATTAAAATTGGCCTTTTTAAAATGTGCTTTTGTTTTTTTGAGTTTATTTCAAAGGACACTATATTGTGATCACTATTTACCAAGTGCTCACCTACTTGAACATTGGTCAAAAGATCAACGTTGTTTGTTAAAACAAGGTCCAGACAAGCGTCCATTCTAGTTGGTGCTTATACAAGTTGTGACATGAAGGTGTCATTTAACAAGTTTAAAAACCTAATTCCCTTTGCTGAGTTACTAGTCCCTCTGTCCCAATTTATGTCCGGGTAATTAAAATCTCCAATAATTAACGTGTTACCCAGATTTGCAGCTTTCTCAATTTGCTCAAACAGCTGTTGTTCCTTGTCAATATTAACATTAGGTGGTTTATAACATATCCCAACCAATAGTTGGTTTCCCTTCTTTACGCCAAGCAGATATTTACTCATAAAGGGTTAATCTCATAATAGCAGGCATTAGGTTGCTAGACTAGGACCTGCCAAAATGGGATATATTGTTATTGTGGCAGGCTAATGCAATGTTTTATTATATTATACTGTAACTAATTTGACATTAATATTTTATTTATTACCGTATATACTCGAGTATAAGATGAGTTTTTCAGCAAATTTTTTGTGCTGAAAACCCCCCACTCGTCTTATACTCGAGTCACTGTCTGTATTATGGCAACTTACATTGCCATAATACAGACCAGGCGGTCCTGTTGGGGGCTGGCAGAGAGCTGTAACTTACCTTTCCTGCAACTCCTGTCAGCTCCCTTCATCTCCGTGCTGGTCAGCTCCCCTGTCAGCTCCCACTGTAAGTCTCGCGAGAGCCGCGGGTCAGAGCGCTGCCACGGGTTACCGTGGGAGCTGACAGGGGAGCTGACCGGCACGGAGATGAAGGGAGCTGACAGGAGCTGCAGGAAAGGTAAGTTACAGCTCTCTGCCAGCCCCCAACAGGACCGCCTGGTCTGTATTATGGCAATGTAAGCTGACAGGAGCTGCAGGAAAGGTAAGTTACAGTTCGCTGCCAGTCCCCCTCCTGCATAGTACACACCACTGGACCACCAGGGAATGTGAGCCCCCCTCCCTGGCCATGTATCAAGCAGGGAGGGGGGATGAAAATAAATCAAGATTTAAAAAATATTAAAATAAAAAATATTAATAATATAAAAAATATATATTAAAATAATAATATTAATTTAAAAAAATAATAAAAATGCCCACCCCCCACCAAGGCTCTGCATCACATACACAAACACACGCTGCATCACATACACACACTGCATTCATACACACACACACACTGCATTCATACACACACACTGC